TATATACAGTATATATATATTTTCATTTTGGAAAAAATAAATCTTTCGCACCAGTTCAGCTGAAGAGAGACCCAAGACATCATGCATATTATATCACTTACTGCCGGTTAGGCGATTGAATTGATTATACAAATTCATTTTAATTAATGTGAGATTGAATAAATTAAGAAAATATTAAATGCCTTTGCCATATCATCAAGGGATGTGAGAAAGTAATATTATCTTTTTTTCATTGGAGGCAATAAAGTGCAGCGCTGCGCTGAACTACAGCTGTCAGTTTTTCTTAATCATAATATTTCAACTCTCCTGACATTTAGAGTAAAAATAAACACGTTCGAGGAAGGTGAGTGGCAAAACACAGCTGTTTTGGCAGGATAGCTCCAAGATATAAAGAAGGTAAAAATGCACAGTGTATCTGGAAGAACACATTTTGGCTCCTAAAGGGTGTACTGGTGGATTCAAGTAGGTGGTTTTTTGGAAGAATGCTCTCACACTTGGCATACTCCACAATGAGTGTGTGGAATTATCCTCCACTTGCCAATGGTTAAAAATGTGATCAGAAAAAAGTGGATAAATCCAGGTCAATATTTAGCATATTTCCAACTGACAATTACTTTTGTTCTGAAGCAGTGATCTCTAAGACTGAATGAGTGTACGAGCATTGTTTTTGTTTGTCTGGAGCCCGTTGCTTTGCTACTTTTTTGTTATTAGTCGGGCAGGCAAACAAAGCAGATGCAGGACGATGTGATCGATGATCTCCCAGAGTTCACGGAGAGGGCACCTGAGCGGTTTTACCAAGGCTGGCTTAACCACCAAAGGAACAAAAAACCCCTCCATTACCTACTCCAGCCTAGACCACTGATGAGACACCAAATTAGGGTCAATGAAACCAGCAACTAAAGATTGATCATCAGAACATCAAAGTCCCTGATGTAAATCCAGCCTTTTTCAGACATCTGGGCTATTGATACAAACCACTCTCAGAGGAGAGTTGCTGGTTAGAAACCAATATGCCTCCTGGGGGGTACTCTGACCCACCCTGCACAAAGACACATCAAGTCTGAAAAGTATCTCCTCGTGAGAGGGTTGAAAAGTTGAAGTTTACACACCATTCTCCACAGACTGAGCAGGTGGAGATCTTATGCAACTGTCCAAAGTTCAAAACAGGTTCATCACTCCAGTGTTACACTCAAGGACACTTACAACATTTACACAGAAGTGTTTTTAACTTCTGAAAAAAAAATCGATAAATGATCTAAAAGAAGCTCATTGTTTCCAATCAGGGTGAAAGTGGTCAATGGAAATATGAAAAACAATTGCACAAACAGTAAGTTCCCTTTACCCAACACACCACAGGCCCATTGGCCCCTCCCCCTTCTGTCACTCTGAAGAGTATTTTGGTTCAAGTTCCACTGCAGCATCCGGCTGTGTTGCGGTCTTGGTTTCACCTCCCACTTCCTTTTTTTGGCCCTGACGTTGTTTCCGCCCCTGATTTAGAATCAACTCTTTCCACACTGAATTTGTGATATCAGACTGTCTTCCTTTCTAGTTAATGGTGTTTGGAAACTAATAAGAAAATCCCCCTGTGAGGTCAAAATCTAACTCCCAATCTGCTCCCTGGGGACCATGTGACAGACACAGGGGCAGCATCAGACCCTGGCAGCTGGTTTAACACAAACTCTAACTCTAGTGATAAGATAAAGGGCAAGAAGGCATGGTTTATAGTAAGCTTTGAAGAACTGTTGTTGCTTTACTGGTATTGTACAGAAGAGAGGAGATTATTTGGCATTATTAAAAAGGCACATTTCATCTTTGACATCTTTGGGTGTTTCAGTCTTTGTAGTGTTGTGTGAGATACTGCAGAGCAGCCACAGGACTTCCAAAGTTGAACCTGGTGACAAAGACCTGAAGATTCCAACTCGCTGTGGAAAAAAATGACACAGATGAAAATGCATTGATTTTCAGAGGAAATATAAGTGAAAAACATGTTTGTTTTGAGGCTGTTAGATGATTTTCCTGCAGAAACTTTGAGGGAAGCCAAACCTCACATATTCAATGCATGTCTGCAAAACTAACAATACCCCGGCATATATTTAGTGCGGTCTAAGTGTAGACTCTAGTGCAGTTAGAGGGCATTTCTCATGACCGCTCCGTACATGTTTGAGGGATCTGAGGCCTAACTGAGCAGCACATGGCTCTGCAATGTGAGTCACTGAGAACAGCACTGCTGAAAATAAAACATGTTGCTGTAATGATGGAGGTTGGAACACAAGGACGTATTGGTAAGAAGATATGATTCAATCGCTTGGACTGTTTTTTTTCCCCCCTTTCTCTCCCTAAACAAACACCACACGGCCATCCGGCTGGTATGACAATCTCACTTCTTAGATTCTGAAAAGCAATGATTCCCTACAGCTCTCATTCCTTCCCTTCTCTGACAAATAAAAAAAGAGGAATACAAAACAACCATTTAAAATTATGATTTTAGTTTACAAGTTCCTTAATATTAGAAGGCAAAAAAATTCAAAAAGTGTTAAAAAATGCATATTTACGTCCCTACATGTTTGGGTGTCCATGAGACAATGCTCTGTAATCCAGGGAATCACTGACATTCTGGAATTTCCGCATGTGAAGTAATTACATTTACAGATGCTCAAGAATCGCGTAGGAAAGTCAATCTTTTGAAAAGTAAGCCAACTATTGAAATGGTCCACATGTGTAGAGTCTGGCTTTGCCTGGATAGAAACACGACTTTCGACCTCTGGCCACAGCTGCTTCACAAGCCTTCGCTGCCTCTGTTTTCACCATCAGCGAGACTCGCATTCTGCATCCTCCTCGCCTCTGTCCTGGAGGAGAAACGTTCACTACCACGGCACCAGTGCCACGCACATCAATTACAACTTGCCCACTACTGATGAAGAAACACATCTGAGTTGAAATTCAAGGCTGGAATTAAAGGATATCATTCAGCCAGTCACAAATAAATAAACTACAGTATAGTCCTGCATTCTGTCCTCAACATTTTATAAGCATGGACAAATAACCATGGCTGCCGTGCAAAAAAAAAAAATTGTTCAAGGATAAGAAATGCCATTAAACCCTTCAACACCTGCCCCATCCCCCTAAAATTTTAAAGAGAGGAACTCAAACAAGGTAAAGCAAGTCACATACTCGGTCACTTAAATTGCAGATTGACAGATTTAAGTATCAAGATTGGATTAAAAAAATTGGAGCATCTGTTTAACCTAACTATTTAATTTGTACAAGCCAAAATTGTCTGTACATCATCAAACCAACTTCAGATTTTTTCATAGTATAAATTGCAAACATCATTTCTAATGTTATTTAAAATAAACTTAGAGAATATAATTAATAAAATGTCACTCTTTTCCACGGTAAAAAAAACAAACCCCAACAACATACAAATAACTTTTTAAAAATAAAGTTTACATTCAACTAGTTTTCAGAGCTGGTGCACTTCTCTGCCCCTCCCCACATGTTTAGCTTGAGAGTGACACCTCCCTGTGTCTGGGTTTGCCTCCAGGTCAGATCAGGTTTTGACCAGGGCTGGGAAAGCGGATGAATAATAATGGGACGAGTTTCTGAACCTCACCTGGTTCTTTTATATGAATGAGGATTGACTGCAGAAAAAGCTCCAATAATCAAGTGAGGGCAATGAAGTCGAGTGACCTGTCCATATGACGGGGCACAGCCCTTGTGGCCCCTGTGGCCTGAGTTTGAGTGGAGGATAATGCACCGCCTCTGCAGAGTCCAGATTTCAGAGCAGAACAAGGTCCGACACTGCTCACAGGCAGCTTCTTTTTTTAAGACAAAAACCTGTGAGGCAGCTGGAGCACAAGTAACTTTACCCTAAATATTCTTACATTGTGTCAAGCTGCAGGTTTGACTCCCATGACAGTAATGTATGCAGTAAATATGCAGATACAGAAATATACAAAGTACAGATACTTCTTAGTTTCAAGGAACCCTCCAAAGTCTGGTCCCACAAAGTTGAGGTGAGATTCCCAATGAGATGTCAGGGGATGCTGGGAAATAGTCATTACTGTCACAGTGATTTTACTGTCAGATCATCAGTTGGTAGAGAAAAGTGTGAATCATTTAGTTCATTCAATTCACAACTGTTCATTTCCATTGTCTGGCTATTATGTTAGACTGCGTGACTATTCAAACAAATAACATAAAAGAAAATGCCTAGCATCAACATTTAAGTGGTAGCTAAATGTGTATTACTGTTTATCTTATCTCATAGTCAGGTAGATGTTTCGACTACGCCGTCTGACAAAGCCATTTATAGCAGCTTTAGTAAATGTCTCTGTCCTCATCGTGTTCATTAATTTGCCGTAGAAATTTGGCAATTCATACAGTGACCAAATGACGAAAATTGAGCAGTAATCTTTAAAATGTTTTGTAAAAAATAATTTCGCAATTTTTTCTTCATATTTTTTGTTTTAAATAGAAAAAATATTTTTTTTACCTTTGCAGAAAAAAAGTCTATTATGTTTACTTTTATGCAAGTTATATATATTTTACTATGTATGGTGTGATTTTAACTGAAAAACTAAGATCTGATGTTACAGTTGTAACGATACCACACTCCTCTGCTTTGATAAATGATTTTAAATAGTAGCAATAAGTCCAGCTGCTCATTGAGGGATCACAAAACAAATTAAAACTCCAGACTTTTCCTTTAGCAGTTAATGTGTTACTGTGTGAGCCTAGCAGTTTGGTTAAGAAGCACTACTACAGTAAGGATTATTTTATGGTAGTAATACTGTTCAATTACAAAGTAAAACCCAGTCGATGCTTGTTTACTCCCATAATCCTGTTCAAAGCATTGAAATCACTAGAAATAATCCAACATGAGGCACATTTAGAATATCTGACGATACCACAAGTGCCGAGACGCACAACTGACCTTTAAAATAGGTCTGGTGTGCCTTTGTAGTGAAGAGACAATTCTGTTTCCGCCTCACCCATCTTCCATCTGCCTGCTCATGGAAAGGACAGATAGTGTGGGACCTGAGGGCGATGTTAAGTCTTCCTTCCTCTCCTTTCTTGTTTCCACCTTGCTCATTTCACAGGCTATATGGCATGAAGATTAGGATGGCTGTCAGGTGAAACACGAGTGCTACATTTAGTGGTGTGGGCGGCATCCCTGTTAAACCTCTTACTTACAGAGTCTCTGAAAAAATTCTCAAAAAGCGAGTGATCCTGTCCACTGCAGCTGAGTAACAGGAGCTGTACCAGGTCGGAGAGCTTCACTGAGCAGCCACAACTCTGATTCACAGTAGTGCTAATGCAAACCTAATTCTACGAGCAAGTAATTGTCGACGACTGTCAGAGGTCGGAGGTTGGACATAGAAAAGCGTCTCAGAGCTGCTTCATGGAGGCAGATGCCTGCTGTGTGGGTCCTGTGTGGAGGAACAGTGTTGTGCTGTTTGGCTGCCATTCTGGGCTAACAGCCTGCTGTCAGTTTAGCAGCCTTCATCTTTAACAAATGCTGCTGCCTTGCTGGAGACTGAATATTCAAATAAAAATTAATAAACCACTGCAGGAAAATGGGTTTGAATTTGTCTCTTCTTATTTCTCCTAACAGAAAATGAATATTGTCTGGACTAAAAAGGATTTGGAATTTTCCTCAATTATCTGTCATTTATGTTTTTCTGTCTACAAACCATCAGCCCCGTAAATACACGTTTATTTTAGTTCTTGTTATAGAAGAGTAAAATTAAATGCAGTAGACTTGCATTCAGCTTGAAGAATGATCTGAAATGGAGTTCAGAATTAGTTTTGTGTCATTTGACTAATCCTTCAATTAAGGCATGTCCAAAGCTTTATTTGCATTGGCGGAAATTTTAAAAATGTTCCTGAGGGTTAATTCCTCCTCCTGTGATATTAAGTCTCATACAAATGCACTGCATTTTAACAAATTGATTTACTCCAAAACAGCAGCTTTTGTTTAAATGGCAATGTAATTAAACCCAGATTTCTACAGAATATTATCACTGTTGTTTCCTACAATTAAGACCACTGTTTTTTTTTATTATCTCTGGAGGTAAAGTAAATGGAACTGCACAGCAGTGATGCGGCCCTCTGTCCTGATTTTCTTCTATTTTTATGCTTTAACAAAAGATTAGCAGTTTCTGAAAGTTCATTCATTCACTTCTTTTCACAGCTCAATGTTTTCAGGGTCAGAAGCAGCTTGCTCTAATGAAGTATCAGTATCAGGCCTGATACTGATACTGAGAATGGTATTGGACTAACTGACTAACCACTTTTCCACCATTTGAAAATAGACACAGTTTGGCTGACACATTGTACATTTATGTATGTGTCTGTAACTGTCGCTTGACAAAAAAATGCTCCACTATGGTCCAACTAAAACCTTATGTGTCTCTTTGTCAAATTAAAAATGGAGCCACGAAATGATTTTTTAATTGATCAACTGATTGTAGTTATTCTACATTTTGACAGTTTTCAGTGAAACATCAGGAATTTAGAACTGTGAGGATAAATCTAAATCACAGACCTGCTCTAAAAAAAAAAAAAAAAAAAAAAGCTAAAATAATAATAATAAAAAAATGAACAGTTTTCCTTTTAATGCAGCCGACGCCTGGCTGAAAGTCAGGCCTGCTGTAGCAACCAAAATTCTGGCTGAGTTGACGCCACGCAGCTCTGATTAATGGTAGAGGCTGTGGGTGGGTGGTAGACATGGATCTGCCCATTACCACACTGCAACATTGCAAATGGCTTCAATTACTGTGGAGTGTGCTGAGCTGGCAGTAGGGGCTTGAGGAGGCAAGATGAGCAACGTGCAGCATCCAGAAGATAACTCCAGTGCGATCCATTCACTCACAACAACAATGTGGTTCTCACATTTATCTTCTCCTTCCTAATTCATGTGGAAAAAAAATGTATTTATTTTTTGTTAAGTTTAAAAGTAGTTCTTCTGGTCAGAAGTTGGAGGAGTGATTCCTTTTCTCATATAGTTTATATATTTTTTTAAAAAAAACAAATAATCTCCATTATATGGCCAAATGGTGGATTGCCTTCAACAAGAACATTGTCTGACTGATGGTTTTTCTTTGAGGAGTTGCATTTTCTCCCTGCTTACTCTCTAGCTCTAGAAAAGTTTGTCAGAAAAAACGTTTGGGTCAGAAACGGCATCAACTGTAAAAATCTGTAAAATTGTTGACAAACTGTTAATGTGGACCGGGGGAAAAAAAACAAACTGTAGCAACCCTTATGAAAGCAGCCAAAGGAAAAAAAAGGTTCACGGTTTTCTTGTTTTCACCACTTTTTTCGTCTGCGATGGGTCTGTGTCTGCTGAGGTCCAAGTCAGAAGACAGAGGGCTGCATGTGTACACTGTGCATGTGCAAACTACTGTGTAGGCTGAAACAACAGTGTCCCTGTCCAGCACTGTAACACTGTTTCCCTTGACAAACTGACTCGCCATCACTAAACAATAGCAGGACATATTGAGGACTTGCCAAATAGCTGACAAGAATCATAAGGGCCTGTGTGTGCCCATGCTTGAACCCCCCACCCTGGCATAGGGACAGGACACCCTTCCTGAGCCAGAGCAACGAGGATTCCCTACGATCACGCCCCTGGTTCCAGTGCCAAGTGCTACTGGCCCCCTGTAGTTTCTTGTATAACGAACCAGCTGTCTCCATCAGTTCACTGACCCACATCCATAACCTTAACACAGGTTATTGCTTAAGTGATGGTCAGAGATGAAAAGAAAAAAGACGACAAATTTGCGCTAAAATTGAGTCAATGACTGCACTCCTGGAAGTGGAAAATGATCATTAGGAGTCTCCCACCCACGACTCAATGTGCTCCTTTTGCAAATCACATCAATTAATGTCATGGGCTATGATAGATGCTCCCTGTGTCGTAGCACATGGAGGGAAGAGGACAGATGCTAATAAGCTAACATACTTCACGGAGGAGGTAGGAAGACTTAGGAATCCCCTTGTCCCTGTGCAGGACTATGGTACAGCAGGTACATGTAGGAACTCTGCTAAAGCAGCGACGACTGTGTCATCGAATATGTTTGTATTCATAATTCATCACTCATTACTAATTTCCTGGCACACCGAGACCCACTACAGCCCAGTAGATGAAGAGGCTGAATTGAGTGACGTCACACACAGAAATGTTTGGTAGACAGTGACAGAAGACAGATAGATACTTCAAGCCAATGGTACAGCCAATGGTGACAGCAAGAGTGAACAACAGAGCTACAGTGGTCCTGGTACAACAAAGCAGATGATGGAGTTCACTGCCAGAAAACTTTCTGAATGTTGAATATAATATCTGTGAATGTAGTAGACAAATGAAAAATGCTCAGATAAATAAAAGAATGTATGCTCCTTGTCATTGTGACACAGCACACACAACCAAATGTGACCTCTGCTTTTAACCCATCACCACTTGAACTGCACTCGAACCTGAAGCCTTCTGGACACAAGTCCACTTGCTTAGCCACTAAGCCACCACTGCCACTAAAAACAAAAATAAAGTTGGTCATTGATTAAGTGCTAAACCAAAATTAATTTAAATTGTTTTCCTGTTTAATATTTGACAAGGTCATTAATTACAACATTTTTGATGGTGCTTTAGCCTTTGTCCTTTTCTCAATAAGAAAACTCACAGACATTGTTAGCTTGCAAAGAGCCACCTCCAGGATAAGCCTTTAATACATCATTGTCCAATGGTTGACTCATGGAGAAGAAAACACTAGGATAAATCTTACTATAATTACCTCTTTGTTGTTGTGTTTGTTAAAAGATGTTCAAATCAATGTATTTTATTTATTTATTTTTAAAATGTATTTTCTACCACAACTAACACAGAATCAGTCATGTCCTTTGGTGAACCACGGAATCAAATATATAAATATAAAACATTTCTAAATTTAATTTCCCCCTGAGAAGGGGGGGAGACAATAGTTGTTCAGTAGATTAAAGATGGGTGGAACTCCTCTGCTTCATACTGAGCAGGAAACTATTGAATTTGAGCTGGAAGCAGAAAATTGTAATAAAATATTCTGAAGAGGAGTTTGTTATTCATGCAATTATTTCTTCATCTTAACCAGTTCTGACACAGTCAAGACCCCAAACTGTGTCAGAACTGTTCATCTCAACATCACTGTATGTGCACACAAAACTAATATTACTTTTGACACTTCTTTATTTCTCCACAGGTCTCAACATCAAACAGACTTTAGCCTAATTTCTTTGGATTGTCTGCTGACATTGCTGTCAAAACTTCAAACAGCAGAGACTGGCAGTGCTTGAAGTCTCAAAACAACCTGATTTCTCCTCAAATCATAGGTTGTGGCCTGAGTAGAACAGACAGCCAGACACGCCTCCTGCAAGAAACTCCTGCACTGTGCACCCCGGTGCAGGTGCCCACCTTCAGAGACCGTAATGTCAAGAAACCTGAAGCGTAAACAAAACAGGAACTGACTTTTCTGCAAGACAAACACAAATGTCCTCTGAGAGCTGATAATCAAACCAATAGAAAACACACTTTAAACTCACCTGACATTAAGGGGGCTAAGTTGTAAAAAATGTGGAAAAGCGTTGATTCAGATGTGGTCAAACACTTTGCAGGTGTGTGTTGGAGACAACAGTACTTATCTGGGCCTGCAGGCATTAACACTAACTGAGGACTTACTCACCAACCTCATTAACATCTCCCTTGTCAAGTTCAAGCACTTTGAGAAAATGATCCTTCCTAAAGCAAACCCAAATGCTCCTAATAGCTTGTGATGTACGTGTGATGCCATTTGTCTATGAAAAAAAAAAAAAAACAGCCTTGGGCCAACGCAGGGATTTAAAGATGGTTAAATGGTGTTGAGGCATATGATTAACATAATTCATCAGATCAGCAATAACATGAGCTTCTGTGGCATCACTGACACATTTGTTAAATCCTAACATGGTAAACCCTTTATCCCAAAATAGACAATAAACACAGCATATATCTGACATCTACAGAACAGTGTATGTCTGTAACACAACAGATGTTGGAAAGATGGGTTTAGAGTCATGGATAAAAGACTATATAAGAGTTTCAGGTAAGATATATATGTAGATTTTTTTTAAAAAAATTGTGATTTTCTACAATTGTAATTATGTGTCATTTACAATGAGCCATTAAAAGTGCAGGATGGTGTGTTTCTCGGCAGGCATGCTGCCCTCTCTCTGCATTTTCTCCTTTCCCTTTTCAGTTGCAAAGAAATGTTTACGCATTAACAAATGCTAACAGAAATATTCTGAAATGGCAAATATATATATTTGGTAAAGGAATGGTTAGTCTATAGCTGTTGAATGTAAAAAAATTGTGACATTGTGACACAGCAAAGCACTGCACACACCCAAATGTGACCTTTGCTTTTAACCCATCACCAAAGTGAACAGTGGGCAGCTTTAAGCACCCAGGGAGCAGTGTGTGGGGATGGTGCCATGCTCAGAGGTAACTTAGCAGCTGGTGAACTCAAACCTATAATATATAATCAAAGGAGCTGGGAGCATCTGCTGCAACCGTCACTACAGGGCCAAATTATGTGTTCTATATTCAATAAAAAATGTAACTTGATTTTTGTTTGATAAAATGTCAGTATAATGTAATGTAATGTAGAAAGTATAGGACAAAAAAGATATATATAAATTAGCTCAAGGGCAAAATTATTATTGATATGTAGTCACAGGCCAGATGTTAAGATTTATTGGGCTGGAAGTGTTCCAGATTTACAAAAACCAATTAGGTGGATTATATATGAAAAGCTGAGTTGTATTCATAGCGTTGTGTGATCTGTCTTAACAACTACAGCACAGGCAGAGAGGGCGGTAGTGGTCTGTGATGACAGTGTGTAATTTGTGATGTTGCAGTGTTTACCACGTGAAGATTTCTCCTCATCAGTGAGGGACACCATCACATCTGAAGGCTGCTCAAAGACCATAAACTGATAGCGATGAAAACCAGTCATCGGGGATGGGGTGGGTGGATGGTAGTCTATGTGGAAATACAATCAGAAGTAAGGCATTAAGAAAAAAAGTGTTTTGGCAAAGGTACAAGAGGTCAGGGTAACAATACACAACTTTATCATTTCTCTTTAAATATATAAATTCAAACTCACGCTCACCTGTGAGGGTGGTTCCATGCACCTCCCCATTCTTGAGTGATTCTCCCTGTTAGTTCACACAAAGATCGAATCAGTCATCTGGGAGATTTGGGATTTGTACAGTTTAACATTTCACTTTATTGCAAACAGCTGTTTAGAGTGACCGCAAAAGCTAATAATTTGACAATAACACACACACACAGTAGGTGATTGTAGTCACACGCCCACCCAAATGATTCCCCAGTCAACTTTATTGGAGCTAATTTTGCTATTGTTAAAATTAAATTCTGACTTAAACATATCAGACTTTGAAAAAAAAAAACAACCCCTGAACACAATCAACATGTTGAATGAAAAAAAGATAAAAAGTGAAAAGAATAATTAAAATTAATTAAATTAAAATAACAGTATTACGGAGTTATTGATTTGAGCACATTCTTAAGTTTTAGACAATTCTTCTAGAAACACAGTGTAAAACACAAGGTCTTTGCTGAGTATTTTCTTTCTATGCTGTCAGATGTAATTTGCTCACACAGTCAGTGACTTCTCTCTGTAAATGGTGCAAACACACATGTTTATTTCAGAGACCAGAGTCATTAAATTGTTTAACATAAGGCTGCTGCATCCTTGAGTGGGAGGAAAACCATATGTATTCCTTGTGTGTGTATGCATGTGTGCATGTGTGTGTGTTTGTGTGTAAAAGGGTCCCAAAAACAAAACAAAAAAAGAAGCATGGAAGTCCCCGTCACTAGAGTCAGATGTCAGGACTGTGCACATACTGCACGGTCTGTTCTCTTTACCTCACACACAGGCTCCCCCCACAGGGTAATAATGGTACTGGACAGTATACAAAGAGCAGGGATGCAGGATATGTCTTTTTGATTCAAACTAGACATTTGAAGTTAAGTAAAATTATTATGAATTCATTATTCACAAGATTGTATAGGAAATATTTACAATTACATTTTTTAAATGTAGTCTCTTCAGGGTTTTTTTTTTAATTCTTTGTTTGCGACTGGGATGCAGTTGAAGTCTAAATGCATTAATATTGTATAAACATCTTATGTAAATTGATGCACCAACAACTCATGTGTCTCCTACTGTGTTTTTTCTAACCAAAGTATAACTGTTGATTTTTAAAGCTTTGGTGTTTCAGTGATGGATAAAATTCACAGCATCAGCTCCAACTGGATCTTCTTCCAGTGATGAGTGAGAAAATGGGCTTTATTTAGAAATAGCAAGAGGCCTGCAGTGTGCAGAATCCAAATCCATTGCCATAGCAACAAGTAGTCAACATTTGAGCGTGCAACATTTTACCATAACTTAACACAGGGCTCTCGCTTGCTCTCCCTAGCACCTGCTGCCCCTTTAATTTTCATTAAAATGCACAGAGTAAAAATACAATAAACAACTGTAATATTAAAATTCAGCCAAAAGATGCAAAAAACATCATAAACCAAGCAGGACGTTCTATGAGGGATTTCAAATATATTTACAGTTAAATATATTTACAATTTTCCCAAATGCACTCAGACAGGGTGGGGTGTTTTTAACACAGTACTTCTCAACTTGCATGCTAACTCAGAATACAAATTTTACACTGCATTTATGCATTCTTTTTTTAAAAAGAATACCAAGTTCAAAATTATGTAGATGTAAATTTTGTACCCTTTAAATTGAAACAAAAAAAGCAGACTTTTTTTTACAAGTTTCTCAGGACTATGATGTGACATTCGCAGTTGTAAATGAACTAAAGCCTCTCCAAATCTACATGGGGTTCTTTGTGTCACATTCTCTCCCTCCTACTCATACAAATACATTGCAACATCCACTGGCAAAGAGTTGGTCTTCATTCAACAAACTCTTTTTGACACTTTATAATTAAGTCTGAATAATGCAATTATATTGTGGTTCTCTCTGTTATTATTGAGTAGATATCACAATCTATGCCAGCTCTTATACTAGTTACTGAAATGTTAGTTTTCTACTATTGCCAGTTTTGTTCCGTACTTGTGCTTCGTGGGAGTCTACGAACACTGTCTACTTTTTGTTCTTAAGTAATTTTATACAGTATACAGGGTTCATTTTGGAAATTGTCTGTGTGTTGTTCCACACAGTAGCTGTGACACTGCAGGACGATAATTGACTAATGATGGAGTAATGGACCGGCTCACACTAATCTGCAGGACATTCTCACATAGTGGGCGGCTCCCCCACTCCAGGGACCCAGCTGTGGGACTGGGGAAAAATGGAAAAAGTTCTGAGTATTAATGATTGACAGTCGCTTGCTTATTTAATTGTTTTCAGGGTTAATACAGGATTTTAATAATAATTAGAAACACACTTGAACGATTTTTTTTAATTAAAGTTAATTTGTGCAGCCACATTCCTGGACATAAACAGGATGAACATAAATGCATTTAAAAATATAAAGGTTATTCACTTGGGGAAACCACTGCATGTCTATGAGAAATTCATCACAGTTTCACCTAATTAAATTGAACTAATACTACTCAGTCCAGATGTATTATTTCTATGGTATTTTTTTAATAAAAAACAACAAGTTATTTGTTAAGATGTTCTAAATACATTTATTCAATCTTTACAATATATTCATTGTATTAAGTTTCCATATCAATTTATACTGTTATTGAATGCTGTTATTGTGCTGTACTAAAAGGGAAAGTGCTGAAGACAGGTGTGTATGCTGATAGTTTACATAAGAGGATGATATGAACAACACTGAATGGTACTGATTGTTACACTTGGTGATAGAGAGAGGACACAGAACCGGTCAGAACTGGTTTCTTTGCCCAAATAAGGAGACCAAGGGAAGACCAACAAAAGACAAAAGAGAGAAAAACATCCGAAATGCATGGTCTTATCTGACTTGAACTACAGCATTTCCACATAGCTCCTATTGGTGGAGAATCTTTGTTTGGAGCAGTCTTTACCAATCAGTGCTCTGAAGTGGCACGTGAACACCACATGGCTGTGGAATGCCAAGGTACTGACCATTGAAGTGTATGTTAAAAAAATTTAAGCTTTGAGCACTTAGGTGTTCCTCAGTGCAGTTCTGAATGTAACCATTGTTCTGCTCTCCTTGCTGCAAGTAAAACTTTTAAACTTTGAGATCTCGTATTTGATTCTTTATTTGATTTTTATTTTATTCTTTGTGTGTTAGGAAACAGGGGTATGAACTAACAACATATTTTACAGTCCTATTTTACAGTCCTATCTAACAGAAAAAAGTTTCCTGACATTATTTATGTTATAAAACTGAGTAGTAGACTAACTTTTATTTAATTCTAAATTTGCGTACAGGCATAAAATGATTGTCACTTAAGAAAAATTGCAAAAGTTAGATTTTCACCCATCGGCCAAGTTGAATGCTCATCTTTACAATTTCACGCTGTTCTTGTCATTTGTCTCGGCACCATATTCACTTACTTTTCTACCACTTCTGTTATTTAAATGTAATATTGTTGGTGGAAAGCATAGACCGGGAATAATGTAAATATAAGAGTAATATCCTTGCTCAGTGATTCAGTAAAATAAAAGTGAAGTGAATTATTTGTCATTGTGACACAGCACTCCACTGCACACAACAAAAGTGACCTTTGCCTTTAACAGATCATCATAGTGAGCAGGGGGCAGCTCAAGCTCAGGACCCAAGGAGCAGTGCATAGGGACAGTGCTATGCTCAGAGCAACTGAGTGGCACCAGGTAACTGTTGGATTCAAACCTACAACCTTTCAGACCTAAGTCTGCTTCCTTAACCACCAAGATACCAATGGATACCTGTGTGTTTATACATAACTCAAATATAAGTCATACAGCTAATTCACTTAAATAACCTGAGATTTCTTTCCTGTAGTCATTGAAATATGTAACAGTTTATATAAACCAAACAGAGTCACAATGAGTTTGTCAAGGTTTTAATTTTTAATGAAGTCTTAAACATAAATATTATTCTTAATTAAATTAATGATAGAATAGGTTTTGTATAAACAACCCGTGTAGACATTAAAATATATATTTTGTCCTTTGCCAGATATTTTGACTTCTTTTTTAATGTTGCAAAATGAGCATTTAAGTTTTTTTATATAAACTGTGATCAAAGACACAGCCTCTCATTGTTGACTTTGGGATCCAACTTAAACATCGCCCACTCAAATGAACAGAAGCAAATGATAAAATATGTTTAATTTAGGATTGCACTGTAGTCATGTTGTGTTCATTAATCAGTGATTTCGGGATCACACAAATACTGTTTCGCATAAATAGTACAGTATAAAGGGGTTGAATTTACTCGTTTTAAACTCAGAAATATTAATTTAGGATAAAATATTATGTAACATGTAAATTGTAAGACCTCTGACCTCTGGTCTGCCTGTGGAGGGCAGTAATGGGGCATAGTAGTGTAATTTAAACAACAAGAATTTATCTTACAAACATCACCAGTCATCCTTTGACAGGAATCTAATCCTTATGTTTCCCTTCAACACCATGTAATCTGGAGAACACAAACCACCAGGTTTACACCTCTCCATCCCCTGTCACTGTATAAAATAACCTGTATTGTAAAACTATATATATTTGTAGCATATCTGTGGTTGCCAGATGACTATTTCATCGCTTGTGCACATTCGTTTCAAAATAAATAGAAGAATAAATATAAATTAAAAAAAGCGAACATGTGTATTGAATATTAGTGTTTATGATTAGAATAGGAGAAAATAAATGACTGCAGCTGATTTTAAATGTATTTTTCATTGGTCAACGATTATAATTGTGAGTAAAAATCTGCTCCACGATGGAGATAACACATCTATGTTCAGCAACACTTGATCTCCTTCATCTCTCTGTTCCTGCTGCATACATGTTGCTTCAATGACTAAACTCACACTCTGACTCTGGCAACAATTAGAAAATTGTGGTTCAGGCAACAGACTCTGTTCTGTATAGAGTGTAGCAAAACTAAGCCTGTCATGATCATAACACACTAAGTAAAATCATATAAAGAGCACAGTTTTTTAATCTAACAATTCATGACCTTTTGAATAA